CCAAACCCACTCAGTCCTTTGGCCAACGGGGCAGCCATATGAGCCGGTGAGATTTGAACAGCCGAACTGCAGAACTGCAGTCAGCTGAAGTAGCCTGCAGTGCTGCATTTAACCACTGCGCCACCTCGGATCTTCACATTGACTTTGAGGCCATTATGGAGTTTCCGATGATATAAATCCAAAACCACTGAAAATATTATAGTTGATTGAAATAGTTTATTACTTGCTGATTTATTCCCACTGTATCATAGTTTTCAAATAGTGCCTCATTTTTAACATTTGGTTTCCAACAAAGTGGGATGGACAAATAGCAAGATTTCTATCTTCAATGGAGGAAATTTTCATTTTAGCATTATTTATTTAATAGAATTTGAATGTATATAGTTTTTAATGGAAAAGGATAGTAGAAGAACTTTTCATTCTTTCAATAGAATATATGCTTAGCTGTTATTCTAAAACTTTTATGTAGCTGATTTTAAAAAACTCATAAAATAGAGTTTTGTGATCTAGATGGTTTCTCTTTTTCAGGTGGTTGATGATCATTCCAACACTGTGATGAAACCACTGTGGCCAGATATTCAACAAGAGCTGAAAATTGTTGAATCTGAGGAGGAGTTTCCGTGTACTGGAAGTGCTTTAAAGACAGACGAACAAGGGGAGTTTAAACCAAATCTTACATCCATTGCATCTTCAGAAACAAAGAGTTTAGTGTGTAGTTCTCTTCTGCAACCAACTCCCCCCAAAGAAGAAAACATAATTGGAGATCCATTGGCTATACCTGACATTCTTTCCAAAGAATCGAAAGATGTACAACTTTGCAACTCTGAGACATACAGAAAGCAGAGTGGTATTTCCTTCACCTCAGTGAAGCTGCAAAATAGTCCATGTTCAAAAAATTGCCCACAAGATGATAATACAAAAAACGACCTTCCATCTCAATCCCCAAATTGGAAGTTTCCATCACAACTAAAAGAAAACACAGCTTTTTCAACAGACAAGTCATCATATTCCAAAGAAAATAATTTAGATCAGCCAAAATGTGAAAGTAAGAATCGGCTTCTTCAACTAGAGAAAAAAGTTGAAACAACAGCCCAGTTAGAAAAAAGCAGTGACATATTTTCAGAGAGAGATCTAACCAATTCAAAGATCCAATGTAGAGCTGAAGTCCCATGGGTCAAAGGGGGCAGAATAAATAATCAGAACTCTGCTAACCGACAGGAGGAAGATACATGGAGTGACCATGTCCATAGTTTAGAGTTACTAGAGCCATGGGAAGATCATCAGTGGGTCACCAGTCCACTTCATTCTCCTACCTTGAAAGAAACGCAAGGGAAGGCACTTCAGGAGTTTCAGCCACATAACCAAGGAATAGCCCAAAGCCATTTGAAGAAACCATGTTTCAGTCGCAGCTTTTCCTTAGATAGTAAAGATTTTTTGAAAGCTCATTGGGCTATAGAAATACCTTTAGCTAATGCACATGAAGAACAGCTTTGTGGTAACCTAGAACAAGGAATGAAGGAATATTCACCAGGACAGTGGAAAGAAAGTTTTCAGAAAGCTGAAGCTTGGCTGAATTGTTTAAAGGAAACTTCAAACTCACATGAAAAACACATGAAATATCTAAGTCATCAAGCAGGCTTTGCAGCAACGGAGCTGCCTTCTGGTCTTGAAGGATTGCCCAGTGCTGCCTGTAAAGCATTGGTTAAGAAGAAAGTGCCTAAAGATGAAAAAAATCAAGAAAACATGAAGCTAGATTCTCCTTCATCACAATTTAATACTGAGGTCAGTTTATTAAATTCAAACTGCACAGGAAAGCATGCAACTAATATTCAACAGAATGACAGACCTGGAGTTCCTGTTATGAAAGGACCATGTTGTACTAAAGAGCTGCAGATCAAGAAAGATGAAGACATTCCATGTAAAGGAAAGCCAAGGCCCTCTTCTCTCAACCTGGATTCTGTCCTTCCACTCGCCAGCCTTTTTAATTTTGACAACTTGTCTTTCCCCTCTTCACCCAGGCACTTTCTCTGCGGGCAGAAAGAAGCTAAGTCTAGTGATTCTGCGCCATCCCTTCCTGTTGTTTGTCCAAGTGAAAATAAAGCTGACCTTTGGGGGTCACACTTTGATCCCCAAGACTTAGACTTAGAATACATAATGATGGCTCATGCTACCACCGGTCGTCGTAATTCTGCCCCTGTAAGTGTTTCAGCGGTAAGAACATCTTTCATGGTTAAGATGTGTCAGGCTCGAGCTGTGCCAGTAATTCCACCAAAGATTCAATATACCCAAGTTCCCCAACCTTTGCAGACACAAAACCCCAACTGTAGAATCTCACTGGCATCCGAGAATAAAGAAACAGAAGTCAAGAAAAGTCTAATCAAGCCCATTCAAAATGCTCAGGGTCAGCTGCAACTCCCAAAGAGTCCATCACTTGATGGGATGGGAAAAGAAAACAACAATACACTCATTTTGGATTCAGCTGCAGCTAGAAAAGCCGAACCATCTTTTCCCAATCATAATACTACTCAGGATGCACCAATTCTTCGGCGAAAGAGAACCTCTGAAGGAGAAACCACTGGAGATACTCCACAGTCCTCAAAAATGGAGAGGCCATCTGGGGTTTCAAAGCCTTCTTACAGGTCTAGACCAGGAAGACCCCAGAGCCTTATTCTATTTAGTCCTCCCTTTCCTATCATGGACCATCCCTCTTCAGCAGACTCTAGAGTATTGTTGTCTCCCATAAGAAGCCCTACACAGAGCCCTTCTCCAAGTCCAATTTTGAATGATTTATTAGGGGCAGCCCCAGAGGGTGTCACTCTTCGTAACAAGATGACCATTCCAAAGAATGGCCAAAGACTAGAGACATCTACAAGTTGCTTTTACCAACCACAGAGGAGGTCTGTAATTCTGGATGGAAGAAGCGGGCGTCAGATTGAATAATGTCTTTCAATTTCTCTTCCCTGGTGGATGAGATATACTGGTAACACTGCGAACTTTGAATATGATGCTATTATTGCTAAATGCTTATTACTAAAACAGTAATTGTTGATTTCAACAATCCTTAATTTTATACTTTGTCACATTTAATAGATGAAATTATCCCACAGGTGAAAGCAACATTTTACTGCAAGGAAAGGCAGAGGTAAAAGGTGTCTAGAAATGTATTCCTTTATAAGACATTCTCATGCTTCTGCTTCCCACCAACAGATATGAATCATCTCAACTAATGTTCCTTTCCATGATCTTGCTTATTGCCTTCCTATAATGTTGAAATGCTAAGTATTGGGGCGTTCAGTCCTGGTATGTATTAAGAACAGCAGTCCTGCTCCATGCATCTATGTTCACACCTACAAGGAGTATTGTCAAAAGAATAATGTGCATACTGGGCACTCAAATAAGTGGTGAGAGAGGAATGCTGATGTGTTTGAGTGAAACCTATTTTGATAAGCTATTATTATTATTAAAAACACCAATTATATCTTACTTTTCTCTAAATGGACTTTAATACTGATTATAGAAGATTGTACAAATAGTCATACAGTGTAAAATATCTGCTCTGTCAATAATTGGAAGATTTAATGATGTAATAGTAGGGATTGAACCCACTCCAGTTGATATTCATCCTTCTTCAAAAGCACTAATTTGCTATCTGTGTAGCAGTGTCACTTTAGGTAGCTGCTAAATAAAGTGATAGGGCAGTCATAATAAGCTTCAATCCACTTATTAGAACATTATAGCATACTGATGTTTATTGAAAACATTATAATATGATTTTCTCTACACCAGCCCCAGTATGGCTGTTTTGCAAATTAGATTGAATTTAAGTTGCTACCCAACTTGCATCAATAAGTGACACAAAGTAAATTTCAATTAGCAAATAAATTCCACCCCAAATGTCTGGTTGCAAGTTATTAAATCAGAATTGGGGGTCTGAAGATCTATCAAGAATGACTTACATGTGTTTGATTTTGTTGTCTCATTGACTCTCAATATCATAGTCTAGAACCACATATTCACAAAACACAATTGAACTAGAGCTAGGACAGAAAATATGTAGACAAGTGACTTTGTTGTGAAAATATGTGACAAGTGACTTTGGTATACATATAAGATACTGAAATGGCATATATTGTAATTTCACTAATACTTATTTTGACACATGTATTTCTACCTAGAATTCCAACTTTGATTTTGAGAATAAGTTGCTTCACATAACAAAATGAGCACCTCTTACTTTTGAAGTCTTTTATAAACCCCTCTTTCTTTTTTTACTTTTCAATAAAGTTTATGTAAGGAAGTTTGAAATAATAGCAAAAGAGGATTGGAAGTTCTAAAACATTGTGGTTCTCTCCTTATAACAGAGTAATGGGTGACACGATCTTTATTTGTGCATTGTTAAGAACCAAAAAAAACCCCTTATTTTAATTGGAGAGAATTTAATTGAAGAGAAATTCAACTACTTAATTGAAAAGAAATTCAGCTAAACACAACTGGAATGCTATGAATTTTTAAGATTTTTAAGATTCATTTTGAGAATAAATCAGTTTCTCCATTTTAGGAAACATAGAACAAGAGGTTCTGCTTTTTGCATCCTTAGATTTGGTCAAGGCTTGGTATGTTGCTTATAGTAGTTAGCAAAGAAGGGAAAGCAAAAAACAAAGTCCCCCCCCCCTGGTCCTATAATGCCCAAGGACAGAAGGAAGGGCACTGTGTGCTGTGGAAGAAATAGGTTAATGGAGTGAAGCAGAATGCTGAATTAGAAGGAAAGTTGTTAGTACATTATACCATTTCTGGGATTACAAAAATAATTTACTTGCTCAATGAATGGTATCAAGAGAGAAAGAAAGATTTGCAGTAGTTACCTGTGGGATGGTTTGTTCTTTTGCTTAAGTAATGCCTAGGATTTGCTTTAAGCAAGGTATATTGACTATTTTCCTAGTGACAGATATATTTTCTAAAAATGTGCTATAGAAATATATTAAAATACAGTATAATTAAGACCTAAGAAGCTGTCTCTAAATAGCACTGCATGTCTGAATATTGGACAAAGCCAGTGTTTAGAAATTAGTTGCAAACTCCTGTTGTGTAGGTTTCCCACACTTTTGATAGAGAAAGATCATCAAATGCCCTGTCTGCTAACCGTGGAGTCTGTTCTTCCTGATCTTTTTTCCTGCGATTGTTCTTCATATCAACACAGGACTTTAACAACTATTGCTAAACTCATCTGAAACAGATCTCACTCAAAAAAGTAAATCTTCCAATGATTTCATGGCAATGGTCCCTGGGGTAATGGTGGTGAAGAATTGTTTTATGAGATGAGAGATATGATTAAGAAACTAGAAAAGTGCTTGTATATCACTTTGCATCCTTAGCACTGTTTTACTTCAATTTCTTGTCAGTTTCGATTCTTGGGTGCACACACAGACATACACACAATTTCAGTTGAGATTGGGGAAATTATGGGCAAATTTTTAAAATGGATGGGATTCTTCTTCCATTGTGTTCTATTTAAAAAAAGGCATAACTTTGGGGGAGTTTGAAGGTGGAGGAAAAGGGGAGGGCTGCACTTAGTTTTTTCAGTGGCATTCTGAGAACAACAGTCCAGACGTTAGATCAAGGATAAAATAAAATAAAATTGATTTCATTTCATTCAAAAGTGAATTCGGTTAATGGGGATTTTCTGAACATGTATTAAATGTAAAAATGTTCCCATGCATTTTTTAGTTTTCTTCCTTCTTTCATAGTATTAATCACAACTTGTTGGCAACTTTTGAAGGGACACATCCACTGTAGTCAAAGCATTCAAGGTCCTTCTATGGCTCTGAGGTCTCAAGCTGTGCATCTTTCCTGTATATGAAAAATGCTGCATGCCATGTTAGATTGCTTATAACATTTTAACTGCAATTCTTTAAGATACAAGTATACTTTTTTCAAGATTTGTTTCTGATAATTTTATTAAATAAAACAAATTTCAGTTGAGGATAAATCCCTGTTCCTTCCTGCCCTTTCCACTCCCTGAAGAAATTATGAGTCAGTTTTTCCTATTGCTTTAAATTTGAGAGGGGGAAACCGAGTCCATTAATGTGAGCTTTGTATGAATGCATTGAATTTCATTTAATCATCATGATGAGTATTGTTTTCATGGACAGCACGTGGAAATTTTGCCAAGTCTCAACCATGAGATTAAACTGGAGTTTTTATAAAAACACATTTGTGTCTTAGTGTTGTTTTGACAATGTACATAGTTACTGTGCTCTTGATGGGAACAAAAGATGTTTACTTTTGACACTTCTATTATGGTCCTCCTTACTTATCTAAATCAGGGATGGAAAACCTGTGAACTTTTCAGATGCTTCTGAAATTCAATTTCAAAAAGGTCCAGTTAATATCAAGTTCTGAGAAATATTGATGAGGAATCTTTCAGTAATATGAAGGGCTATAATTTTTCCATCCTTGAACAGCCCCAAGCATTAAGGATGCTTATCAGCATCACAAGTGTGATTATGCAAGATCATTGATAACCAATTATTTAAAGAAATTGAGAGAATGTACATTGTTATTACATTCTTATCTGAAAAATACTTGTTGGATTGTTAGATTTATACTCCAGGAACTTGACTGAACTACTTCATGTGGATGGCTCATCTACCTGTGTGAAGTAGTCAGAATATTAGTGATCACCCTGCATCCTTTGTAAGTAGTACAAAAGTTACAGACGGACTTAAAATTCTTGCTGAACTTCAGTCTTTTTCATATCTAGTAGAAGAAAATCCAATTTTCTGTGTTTCCAAAGCAACTTGAATAAATCTAAACATTACATTTGGTAGCAGCTGGATCTCATATTTTCTCACAAAGCATCTATCTTGACTACTGTCACCAGAAGCTCATAACTTGAAGGGATTTAATTCTCTTTCTATCTCTCCTCCAGCTGCTTCCTTTTCATTTTTCAAAATCTAAATGCATTAATTGGGATCCTGTTCGTATCTTTAGATACATTAAAATGAAAGGCCATTTGCATGCATTTTGACTGATATACAACAGAACATAGGATGCTTAGTCTGGTATTTTACTTTTAGTAATATATTTAGCATGGCTATATAATTAGGGAGTAATCTGGTTTGTGCTGGAATCAGATCTGGGCAACCTGCTAGTTCCCTGGATTTGATGGGATTCATGGCTTCTTCCTTATTCATGGATATACACAAAAAGATCTGATCTGGGAAATGGGTACTTTCACTATTATACTGAAGAAAGAATAATAGTATCAGCTATACATTTTCTTCTTCTTTGAGAAGATCGGCAATGTATCATTTAATATTTTAAGGGGAGGTGAAAAATTCCTATGAAAAGTCAGCAGTGCAGGAGTGGATTGGGCTGTTTTTCTGCTAGGTCTTTTGGAGGAAATTGGGAATGGGTCTTTATTTCTATAATATTCAACAAGCATCTTTTTATTTCCATTTTCATTTTCATAACACACACTCACATGTATACTATACATACCCGGTATCATATAGTATTAAATAATAA